TCTATAGGAGAGATATATAGATATACTCGGGTGTGTGTGTGTGTGTGTGTGTGTGTGTGTGTGTAAATAAATTGATATATCAAGTGAGCATATAAATTTTTTAAAGGATTTTGCCATAGGGCATAATGTGCTTGCTGAAGAGAGACAGAGAGACAGATAGTGAGAGATCATCCCCTAGGTGAATGGCCATGGTACAACCCTTCTCCTCCATTCTCCTCTTGGAATTTTGGGCACCCAAGCACAATGCCCAGCATGATTTTTTAAGCCACTGGGTCCAGGTTCAAATGAGAGTCAGCCATATGAGAATCCAGCACCTAAACCACACCACCTGCTAGCCTAAGCATATATTTTAAGCATGGAGAAAGCAGAGACATGGAGAAGCTCATTCTATTGCCCTGTATTATTTCCTTATCTGTCTATTCTTATGTCTACTCACTCTAGTACAGGACGTATTTGTGGTTTTGGGTGTATATGTACAAGGGAAGCTGGAAAAGCAGTTGAACTCAAAATACAGGTAAAATATTGCACTAAAGAGAAAGGGAGCCCCGGTCACTGAAAATGAGCGAGAAATAAGGTGATTGCTAAATGAGATAAAGTTGAAGTTCCTTCCTCAGATGAAATTGAGATCTTTATTTCCATCTCAAGTCATAGTATATTTAAATTACTGGTTTAGAGCCCAGCCAGAGTGGTGATTAAAGCAGCTGTATCTCACATAACCAACTGCACAATTCAAGCCCCAGATATGGCAGCTTGAGAAACATGCCAGGCATGTGTGCACGTGTGCCCAAAATCTCAAAAAGAAGAGAGAAATGAAGGAAAAGAAATTGTAGCATAACTATTCTCCATGGGTGATGGTGCTTTATCAATTTCTCTCTCCCTCTCTCTCTCTCTCTCTCTCCCTCTCTCTGTCTCCCTTCAGAATGCATACACGCCCTCTGGCAAAAATTAAAAGAAAAAAAAAGGGTTTAAATTAAAATAAGGTCATAGGCCTATGCTCCACAAGTCTTGGTGCCTTGGAGGAGGGTTTTACAGACAACCACACACAGCGGCGCCTCCTCTCCCTTACCTGATATCCTGATAACCCGTTATCACTCCTGATTGCTTTCTCTGCCTTCCTTACCTGCGTGCGGTCTTTGTGTTCCTTCACTTAAAATCGTCCAGGGCTCCTTTCCTTGCTCTAATAGATCAACCACATCTGGCTTAGAAATGGAAATCTCCTGCTTAAAAAAATAAAAAAAAAAAACCAGAAAAAGAAAAAGAAATGCCATATGGTATAGAAATAACAGTCATAGAAACCTTCAAGCTCTGATTAAATCTGCAGCAAACTAAAATTTAAATGTTACTGATAAAGACATCAAATGAAAGAGGGGTGAGATGATTTAAGAAATGAGGCAGGTACAGTAAAACCTAGTTTTAATTTAAACTCATATAGGTTATCTATTATGAAAAAACTTAAGAACATTTGTCACACACACACGTATATACAGGCTCATTGGTAAGGTCATGACATATTTTTTTCTACGCAAAAATATGTCATGACTTTCCCGACAATCATACATATATACATATATGTGTGTGTGCATGTGTGTGTATACAATTTCTTTTTCCATAATGGTGTCTGGGACATAATGAGCACAAGCATACCAATTATAACTATTTTATTAACCCTAAGAGAAAAACAAGGGCCAGCAGGTGGCATGGTGATCAAGGTGCTGGACTCCCACGTAGTCGACCGCAGTTCGTGTCCCGGACCCGGTGGCTTAAAACTCACACTGGGTGCGTGTGCGTGCGTGCCCAAGATCCCGAGAGGAGAATGGAGAAGGGATTGCGGCGTGACCATCCCCTCTGGGGGGTGATTTCTCGCTTTCTGTCTCTATGTCTCTCTCTGTCTGTCTGGCGAGCGCACATGCCGTATAGCGAAAACCTCTCAAAAAAAAAAAAGAATTACTTTATTTAACTTTATTCATTTTTATTTATTTTAATTTGACTAGAGAGGACAGAGAGAGAGAAAGGCAGAAAGCAAGCCACCAGGTCCAGGATTCGAACCATGATTGGCCATGTGAGAGTCCAGTGCCCTTAAGGACCACGCCACCTGCCAGCCCCAGGAAGAAGGAGAGTGAGAAGGCAAGCCACCAGGTCTAGGACTCGAACCACAGTCAGCCATGTGAGAGTCCAGCACCTTAACCACCATGCCACCTACTGGCCTATATATAGAATTTTAATCCTGCTTCTTGGATATTAAGAAAAAGGAGGTAATTATAAGAAGGGCCAGAGGGAACCAGCAGTTAGCGTAATGGCTATGTCGCTGGGCTCCCACGTAGTCAACTGCGGTTCGCGTCCCGGATCCGGTAGCTTAAAACTCATGCCAGGCGCATGTGCGTGCATGCCCAAGATCCCGAGAGGAGAATGGAGGAGAAGGGATTATGGCGTGACCATCGCCCCTGGGGGGTGATTTCTCGCTTTCTGTCTCTATGTCTCTCTCTGTCTGTATGGCGAGCGCACACGCCCTATAGCAAAAATCTCTCCAAAAAAAAAAAAAAAAGAAGGGCCAGAGAGAGATGCTCTATCACTAAAGGACAGAGCAAAATGATGGTGCTTAATACAGAGCCATTTTCAAATTGGTAGAGCTCAACCATCATCTAGGAATGGAAAGGACAAATTCAGTTTATATCTTGAAATACAGCCTCGAAATTTACTGTGTTGAAAGGTGACATATTACAGGGACCAACAGTTAGCGTAAGGGCTATGTTGCTGGATTCCCACGTAGTTGACCGCGGTTCGCATCCCAGACCAGGTGGCTTAAAACTCACGCTGGGCACGTGTGCATGCGTGCCCAAGATCCCAAGAGGAGAATGGAGGAGAAGGGACTGCCGCGTGGCCATCCCCCCGGGGGGTGATTTCTCGCTTTCTGTCTCTCTGTCTGTCTCTGTCTGGTGAGCGCATGCGCCCTATGGCAAAAACCTCTCCAAAAAAAAGAGAAAGGTGACATATTACAGATCACATTTTAAATTACTTGAGGCAAATAAACTTACCCAGGGAGACCAAGTTCCCATAGTTCTCCAACATCACATCCCTGTACAAGTCCCTCTGCATAGGGTCCAGGTATTCCCACTCTTGCTGAGAGAAGTCTATGGCCACATCCCTGAAAGTCACTAACTCCTGAAACTGCAAAGCCATGTATTATGAAAATTTAAAAACATTTTAAAGATGGAAAGACAGGACATCAGAAGTGCACATTAGAGGAAGGGAGAATATTTTACAAGCAGAGTGTCTACATATTCCTGAAGGATCCTATAGCTGAAGACAAATCACTCTGTATGTTAGGGTTACTACGATAATTCTGATCTGCTGAGGAATGGATAAAATAATTCCAGTTTCCATATTCAGTAAAGTATCAGACAGAACCACATAGTCTGCTAGTTGTATGATGCATAAACTCCCAATAAATATGAGTTTCTACTTTCCCTTTAACAGCAAAACGAAGGGATGGCCTCTCCAAATTTAATATAAAAATCTACATATTTAAGGGACCAGCAGATGGAGTAATGGTTAAATGGCTAGACTCCCACACAGTTAACTGTGGTTCAAGTCCTGGACCTGGTGGCTTAAACTCAGGCCAGGCATGTGTGTGCATGTGACCAAAATCCCAAGAGGAGAATAGAGGAAAAGGGACTGCGGTGTGGCTATCTCTCCAGGGGGAGGGGTGGTTTCTCGTTTTCTGTCTCTCTGTCTCTCCAGCAAGCACACATGCCCTATAGCAAAAATTTCTCAAAACAAAAATACTTATTTTAAAAAAGCTTTTGCGAAAAGTTTAGATAGTTCCATAGCGTCAAATTCATCAAAATGACAGAGTATACCAGAAGCATTTTTTTCTTGGTTTCACAAACAAATTTTCTATTGGCTATATAACAAGCCATTTTACTTTGTGAATCTCAGATTTCATTCATCTTTTACATTAATCTATGTGTTTAGACACAATTTTGAAGGTTTTCCTCGATTTTGGAAATCAATACATTTACTCCTTAGGGTAATATTCTCATTTATTGCCATCTTCCATCATTCATTAACACTTCTCTTGTTCCTGAGTGTATACTGATATCCGATGACCCATAATCAAACAGATGTCACCGACGTTCATCAGAATACATTCAACCACAAAACAGATACATTTGCATCAGTAATTCCTTGGCATGATCCATGATGTCATCCCATTCTAAGACTGAGACCAACAGACAACCAAGTCCCATCTTATTTAACCAGAAAACTCAGATCTGTGGAGAATTTAAAAATGTGTCTCTAATACTCAAATAGGAATGACATCTCTAATTCACCAAACAGGGACTTTAGGGAAACACAAATATTTCACTGATGGGACTTCATTCCCATAGACTGTTCTATTGGAAGCTCCGATTGAAGAATAAGCACAAAAAAAGAGAACTGAGTAAATGGGACAATAAATACATTGGCTAGCAAATACACATAGGGAGGAAACTGAATTACTTGCTGTTCACAGCACTAAGAGAAATGGGAGCAGATAACTGAATGAGGCATTCTTAAGAAGGAAGGTTTAGGTAAATGAAAAAAATTCCATATAACCTTGAATGATAATATTGCAAGGAAACCAGAAATAATCAACTTACACAAGTCATTATTTTAGAAGAGTAAGACTTGATCAGTCCTCCATAGGGTTCCACTACTGGAAAAATTCAAACTCCAGGGACTCCAGGCCTAAAAGAGGGAAAAAATTAAAATTTGTCTCTCTACTTAACCGTATTTCTCAACAAATAATCCATCAAGTTTAAGACATTTTTCGTAAGTGATAATATGAGCTATGACGTCCATCCCCAAAGAACTGAAAGTCCTGGAAATTAAATCCTCTCAACGCAGTCTTTCTTACATTACTAGCTGAAGAAAAATAGATGCCCTTAAAAGATTGTTATAAAATTATTTATTTTATTTATTTATTATTATTATTTATTTTGAGTCTGCTATAGAGCATGTGAGACAGACATAAGACAAACAGAGACAGACAGAGAGAGGGAAAGTGAGAAAGCAAGTCACCAGGTCCAGGATTTGAACTAGGGTCAGTCATGAGAGAGTCCAGCACCTTAACCACCATGCCACCAGCTGTGCCCCCTTTAGAGATTTTTTTAAGATTAGTAAATGAAAAGTCAGTAGGAGCTAAATTAGGACTGTAAAGTAGATGCCTAATGATTTCCCATTGACCCTCTCAAATTTGCCCTTGTTTAATGAGATAAGTAGGAACATTGTATGGTAGAGAAGCACTCCTAGCGAAGCTTCCTGGGGTTTTTATTTGTTTATTTAAAGAATTACTTAAATTAAATTAATATAATTTATTATTATTTTTTAATTTGACCAGAGAGAGACAAAGAGAGACAAAAGGAAAAGTGAGAAAGTACCCTAGTCATGACACTACCTGCCAGCCCCTCCCAGGAGTTTTCTTCTAAAGCTTTGGCTAGATTATTTAAAACACTCTCATATAAGCAGGTATTATCATCCTTTGGCCCTCCAAAAAGTCAATGAGCAGAATTCCTTGAGCATACCCCAAAACTGTTGCTATGATCTTTGCTCTTGGCATTTTTTTGTTTGCTTTTTGCTTTTGCTTTGATCACTCCCGCCTCTTGGTAGCCATTACTTTGATTATGATTTGTGTTCAGGGTGGTACGGATAAAGCAATGTGTCTTCTTCTGTTATGATTTTTCAAAGAAATGTTTCAAGATTTTGATCTCATTCCACTAATTCAAAATTTCCAGAGAAGCTCTGCTCTTGTCTGCAACTGGTCTGGGCACAACAGTTTTGGCACCCACTGGGTGAAACATTTCCTCAAATTTAATTTTTCAGTTAGAATTGTGTAAGCTGAACTAATTTCATAAATTTATGAAATTATTATCAATTATAATGCCTCATCCTGTTTACTATATCTATTTTAAATTATTGCTCTCTATATATTGATAATTTGCCACAATTCTGTTACATGCAGTTTTCATTACTATATGTGATTTTAGTACATTTTCTTCCTCAGGTATTGCTAACTTTTATTTGGTGTTTTGTTATGAAAGTATTCTCAGTCTCCTAAATGTGTCAGCTAGCTTGTTATTAATTTATATTTAGGAAGACCAAAGGCTACAGTATGTAATTTGTGCCCTTTTGGTGAATGTAATCCTGTAGGGAAGGAACCTGAGAAGAGCCTCAAACAGCACCACTATGAATCACCCCTTTTCAGACATTCATCCAAGTGATTCTTCTTGGGTCAACTAATTTTTTTTTAATAATTATTTCCTTTATTTTATTTATCATTATTGTTATTTTTAATTTGACCAGAGTGAGACACAAAGAGAGAGAGAGAGAGAAACCAAGCCACCAGGTCTGGGATTTGAACTGCGGTCAGCCATGTGGGAATCTAGCACCTGTAACCACCATGCCACCTTCCAGCCCTCAACTTTTTCTTAAGGACCTGTTAGTAAATATTTTCACAACTACTCAACTCTGCTGCTGTAGCTAAGAACAGCCATACACAATATGGCAGATGAGTGTGGCTGTGCTCCAAAAAAACTCTCCTAGACACTGGTTTAAACCAGTAATAACAAATAAGCTCTAGGAGAGTTGGTTTTATCTCCCAAGTGGAAGAATTTGAAAGGGGAGTGGTGAAAGAGTGGATTTTGTTAAGAACTATTTTAACTTTATTTATTATTATTATTATTATTATTTTCCAATTTGACCAGAGAGAGACACAGAGAGAGAGAGAGAAAGAGAGAGGGAAAGTGAGAAAGGAAGCTGCCAGGTCTGGGACTTGAACCATGGTCGGCCATGTGGGAGTCCAGTGCCTTTAACTGCCATACCACCTGTTGGCCCTGAAAGAGTGAATTTTAAAATTTTTCTTTCAAAGAGGATTGAATGTTCAAGCACAAATAATAAGGTAACTATACTGTTGAATGTTTTTACATTGTGAAGTAATGTTTTTAATTATTTTTAAAAGCTATTTATTTATATATTTTTAACTTTATTTATTTAAAGTTTACCACAGAGTGAGAGAGTGAGAGAGAGAAAGTGAGAAAGTAAGCCACCAGATCTGGAGCTGAACTACAGTCAGCCATGTGGAGTCCAGTATCCTTAACCACCATGCCACCTGCTGGCCCTGTAATGTAATACATTTTAAAGGTAGATTATGATAAGCTAAACATACATACAGAAAAATCCTAGAATAACCACATACAACAAAAAGATATCTCTAGTAAATCAAAGTTAAGAAAACATGGAATACAAAAAAGATTCTAAAAGAAGGCATGAAAAGTGGAAAAGCAAACAAAGAACACAAGGGGGCATGGATGGACAAACAATTCACCAAATGATACAGTCAAACCCAACCAGACAGATGTGTGGTTATTATACCAACATTATAAATACCTATGTGTTTGATATAACTGTAGATTCATAGACTGTACTTGAAAATACTGACACTTGAAAATCTCGGGATGGAGCTCAGATATATGGTTTAGAAAGCTCCCCTGGTAACTCTTTTAAAAATATATATATTTATTTTATTTTATTTATTATCATTATTATTATTATTATTGTTCATTATCTTGATTGTAGTGCTGGTTTCATGGATGTACGGTAGTCTTTTTTTATCCACAGTCTCCCTTTCCACAATTCCAGGTACCAGCAGTCCATACACAGGTGAGTATAGTACAATAAAGTATTTTAGGAGATATGGCCGGAACCAGCAGTTAGTGTAATGGCTATGACGTTGGACTCCCATGTAGTCGACCACGATTCAAGTCCCAAACCCGGTGGCTTAAACTCACACCAGGTGTGTGTGTGCGCGTGCCCAAGATCCCGAGAGGAGAATGGAGGAGAAGGGATTGTGGCGTGGCCATCCCCCCTTTGGGCTGATTTCTCGCTTTCTGTCTCTGTGTTTCTGGCGAGCGCACACAACCCTATAGAAAAACCTCTCCAAAAAAAGAAAAAAAAAAAAGAGAGAGATGGCCAACATGGGCAACATAGCAAGACCTTGCCTGAAGCACGCGCCTGGTCCAGTTACTAGTGAGGCTGAGGCAGGAGGGTTGCAACATATTGAGAACCTGCCTAAAATATCCCCCCACCACATACACAGAAAAAAATATTTTGAGAGACCATGCTCACATAAACTTGATTATAGTACTGTATATTGTTATAATTATACTATTAGATCTTGTTGTTAGTCTCTTACTGCACCTAATCTATAAATTAAACTTGATCTGTAGGTAAACATGTACAGGAAATAAACATGGTATATCCTGTATAGGGATTGGTACTATCCATAGTTTCAGAGATCCAGTGGGGATTTTGGAACGTAGCATTCCCCCGTGGATAAGAGACTATTGTATACATATCTGAAAACATGTAAGTATACACTTTAAATGTGTAGTTACTGCTTGACAATAAAGCTGATTTTAAAAATATACTATGAGTCCAACAGGTGGCACAGTGGTTAAGGCTCTGGCCTCTCACATGGTTGGCTGCAGTTTGAGTCCTAGACCTAGCCGTTTAAAACTCACACTGGGTGTGTGTGGGTGTATGCCTAAAATCCTGAGAGGAGAATGGAGGAGAAGGTATTATGGCATGGCCATCCCCTCTAGGGGGTGATTTCTCACTTTCTTTCTCTCTGTATCTCCAGTGAGCACATGTGCCCTAAAGCAAAAATTTTTCTCTTAAAAAAAAATTATAGTATTGTAGTTTTAAAGATATATAGGTATGGGGGTGTCAGCCAAATGGTAGGGTGGTTGAGGTAGCTATATCCCACATGGCTGAGAGAGCTTCATGACTTGGACCCAGTGGCTTGAAAAATATACCAGGTCCATATGTGTGCATGTGCCCAAAATCCCAAGGGGAGAATGGAGGAAATGGAATTATGGTGCCATCCCTACTGGCAGTGATTTCTCACTGTCTCTTTTTGTCTTTCTGGTGAACACATAAACCTTATAGCAAACACAAAAACACTAAAAATAAAAACTAAAAAACTTAAAAGAAATATATATAGGTATGATATGACAACTATAACATAGAGGAGAGAGTTGTCAATGAACCTGCACAGTTGTAAGGCAATTACTTTTTATGTGAAATGATGCAGTATTAACTTTAAGTTATATGTATATAACATATATGTGTTATATATAATAATATAATATTATTAACTAGAATATTATTAATTCTAAGTTAATAATATATATTTATAATATATATCTATAATAATATTAAGGTGTATTTTTAAATAAATATTTAACCTAGAGAAGACAAAAATGGAAAAATGAAACAAATACAAGAAAAAAAAATAGTAAAATGGATTAAATATATCTAACTATATTAATAATTACATTAATCGTAAATAGACTGAATATTCCAGCTGAAGGCACAGATTGTCACAACAGATAGGAAAATAGAGGACCTGAATAAAACCAAAGCATGCCTTGTATCCTCAAGTTCTTTTATGTTAAATCACAAATAGTTTTCTTCTTCTGACAAATATTTTAATGGCTTCATAGAACTCCAACTTTCTATTATATATAGTATATTAATTTTTTTTTTTTTTTTTTTTTGGA